ACCAAACGTCCCCTTAAAGATCTCAAAATAATATAAGCAGGTCCAATAAAAATTAATGTAGGAATCCATGGTTGATTAAAACATTTTTTAATAAGCTAATTATCAAGCCCTCTTAATTAACTAGATATAGATTTAAATCCTACACATTTTCCCACTTAACTATGACTTAAAAAATTAATATGTAGATCAAGACACAACTCATTCTTCAAGATTTTCAGCATGGATGTTTGTTTGATAGTGTCAGAGACACCTTTAAGAGTTTCTGTTTGATATATTATCGACGTAATTTGATAAATATTTTTAGTTTCATGTGAACTACAAGTATTCTTATTTATCCTCTAAGCAGAAACAAATCATGCAAGCCGTGTTCATAAGAATATAAATTTTCTCTTATAAAACATTGAAAGTTATTGTATTTATATCAAATATTTTTACAATGTTTATTGGGTGTATCCCTTTTCTTTTCTAATATCTAATTTTGTAATTCTAAAAATTATGAATCAATTATCCAAATTAAACGTTTGAAAGTAATTTTGTAATAATTTTTCATGATGAAGAAATGTTCTTTTTACAGGGAAATGATTCGGATATAATTGGTATGAAAACTAGAAGAAAAATGAACAAGAAAAAGAGTTAGGAAGTGTGTGAAGAGGCACATGCTCACCATCCTATTGGACCTAAACTTAAATTAAAATTATTATTATCCTTCACATGTTTGTCAACGAGAACTGTTCGTGGAATTACACAGAATACCAAGAGGAGTCATATGAAATGAGAACAATATAAATAAATAATATGCCAAAAATTATATATAAAATAAATTATTAATATATCAAAATTTATTTAATTAAATATTGTTTTAAATACAACACGAATGCATGAGTTGTTAATTATGGATCATCACGTGAATAATAGAACATTGGTTTCATTCTAACTACAAGTTACTTCGTAGAAAACTATGATGTTTATCTAATAGACATTTAATTTGATTTACATTTCCAACTCTTTCTTCTTTTATTTTCAAGGTAATTTTCGACAGAGATAAGACGTGAAAGCAATACGATTTTCGAGGAAATCACATCAACAATTAGAAACTCCCAAGAGTCTAGGAATCATTTATTTTCTGAGTGTTCAATGGTTGTCTGCTTATGGAATTCAGTTCTGATTCAGTGTGGATTAAACTCTTCAAATCTGTCTTGGGATATTATGGTTAACAGAGCAAGCTCATTATGGAAAGAAAAATCTCTTATCACCTTCATTTTAAAGATGGCATGGTCTGCTCTCATTTATTTCTTATGGCATGAAAGAAATCATAGAATTTTTCAAGCTCGATCTAGATCAGTAGAACAATTGTTTACTTAAATTTCTGATGCTGTTCTATTCTGCCTTAGGGGGAAAAGCTTCAATTGGCTTGATAGCACTAACCTTTTCCTTTGTAATGCTTGGGGCTTATAGTTTTACCATGATTTGTCTAGGTTATGCACTGATTGTATTGGCTGTGCAGATATTGTTTGATTGATTGATTTGTAGCAAAACTTTGCTATTTTAGGTAATAATATCTTAATTATCCAAAAAAAATTAGAAACTATTTATTATTATAATAATTCTGAAATAAGATAAATTACTTCAAAATTGTTTGAATTTAAAAATGTAATCTTTTAAGATCGAGTGTTTCGTATATGGTTTAAGTTCTGATTGACGAGGAAAAAATGTTTTATTTTCTTTACCAATTTAATTAACTTTTTATTTTTTCATGCTTTGAAATTTCATATGAAGATTAAATAGTTTATTTATGTTTAATACATATATAAATTTATATGTCGTCAATTAATCATAACATATTGTCTTTAAAAATAATTATTATATTTATTTTGAAAGATTTCTGCAATTATTTGTTAAAATATTGATGGTGCATATTAATATTCCAAAAGAAGGGTCAAAAATGAGAATTTTTTATTTACATTAAAAGAGAACAACTTTTGATATTATAAATCAATCACATTGAGTGAATAAAAAAAGATTGGGGATTTGGAGTTTTGTTAATCGATGTTATACGTCTAAAGCCTTTTTGCTTTACTAATTGATGGAAGGAACATGGGCATAAGCAATCAAACCCTTACCCTAAATTTGCATTACGTGCCGAAATTTTCGGATTTTCTTAATATACCAGTTAAATCATCATTGGTGTCCTTATATATATACATGATTTAATTAAAAAAAAATTAAAATTATATCTTTTTATTAATTTCCTAACTTTTTTTATCAAAGTAAATGTTTATCATTTTTAAAATTATAATTCTAAGGTCAAATTTAGCATGGACTTTAAAAATATCCGTCAACAACTCAAAATATAATACGTGTCACATTTATAGTTTTAAAATAATTTAATTTTAAATATATATTTTTATATAAAAAACTCAAATTTCTTTAAAACTCAGAAAAAACCCCACAAAATCCATAATCCAAAAGCTTATTACCATCACTGATTGCCACCACTTAACGCTCACCCAGCCGTCGTGAGATTACCACTGCTGACCATTCCCTTATCGTCGCCCTAATCCCCTAAATCCCTAAACTTAAAACCATAGATCTTTATGAACCCTAAACTTAAATCCATAAATTTACTAGAACCTTAAATTCCTAATTTTTCAATACCCAAATTCCTAATCCCTAATCCCGAAGCATATTATTGTCATTGGACATCATCAGTGTTGTTGAATATCCGATCACTCGTCGTCAAACCCCATTATTGGTCAACCTCATCACCGTAGCGTCAATCCCCTAAATCTTCATAAACCTTAAATCTCTAAATTTTCAATACTCCAATCTCTAATCTCAAAGTTTATTATTATTGTTGCTACCATCATCCAATATGCACTTTTTTTTTGAACTCTCATTGTCAGTTATCCCCTTATCGTCACTCAAATCTCCTAAATTTAAATAGGGCATTTAAGTTTTGTATATTTTAGAATCATGATTTTATGAATTTTGGGGTGTCTTATGAAAAATATAAAATTTTAGGTTTTTTTTTTGAAAATTTAAGAAATTTATTTTTAAAATTAATTACATTAAAAAGTAGACCACATATTTACTTGACAATTAATAAACATCAGTGTGTATATGACAATTAACAAATTTTTAACGATTGTATTAATAAACATATATCGATAGTTTGAGGATAAAATTGGAATATTCAAAAGTTTAGAGATCAATTTTGAATTAGAATTATATTTTATAGTTAAAATTAAAACATTCAAAAGTTTAAGGACCAATTAAAAATGAAAGTCCTAGTTTGAAAACGAATTTCAAATTTTTAAAAGTTTAGAAACTAATCTATAATAAGAGTCATAATTTAAGAACATACGGTATAATTAACCCTTTCAAGTTAGAAACAATTGTTGGTATGTGTGGCAAAGATAGTCCTTTTATCATGGAGAAGTGCCAAGTATGAAAGTCCTTTTGCCATTAATTAGCAGGGTCGGTCCAATGAGTTTTAATGCCCTGGGCGAGATAACAATTTTATGCCCCTATACTTGTACCGTATAATAGACAAAACATAAATAATTTTTTTTAAAACAAAAATGTAATATAAATTATAGTCAAACAATATCAATACTAATACAAACCAAAACCTACAAGGCTACAAATATCACCTAAAACGATGTCTTCGTACATTTTTTGAAGCAAAAACCTTTATTATTTTACGATAGGGGGACCTAGAACATTGTCTAGAGAAAAGGGATATGGCCTCTTCATGCCAACCACCTACAAGTTGTAACCAAATTTACATCACATCAAAGGTTTAGAAGAGAAAGAACGATGCATTCCTGAACTCAAAACTTAGCTCAATCCGCTCATGTAGATACTTTTTAAATGTGGTAGTTGGCAAATTCAAAATTCGAATCTTAACATAAGTCCTTCTCTACCAGAAAAGTTTAACGAGGTAGTCGAAGAATAGCAAAATAGATTCCAGATGCTAAATACAAATCCCGGGCCGATTCGTTACTACACTTCGAGTATGGGTTTATCATAGGATTAGTTCATGCCAACCACCAAATTCACACACTATAGAGAAAGAATAAGCATTCCTAAGTGAACTTGAAACTCAAATGGTTCATGCAGTCATCTTCAAAAACTGGCATCTAATAAATTCAAAGTTCGAATCCAAGCATAAATCCTTCCCCTGTTAGATAAGTTTAACCGAGTAATCTAAGAATAAGAGATGCTAAATGCGAATCTCGGGCCTATTTGATTCCACATTTGGATTCATTTGGCATAAAATTCAGAATATAAACATCAAGAATTTCACAACTAACAGCATAGTAATAAATGGAAAGAATTGAAGGGAAATTGTGCACAGGTAATAAGTTTCCGACAAGTTTTCGGTAGAAAAAACCTAGATCAAAGGTAAATATGGTTATGTAGTGTTTAATGTTAGATTTATGATTTAAACAGATAACTACTTTGTTCAATCAAGTTCTTAAAGCAAGATCAGTCGTTGGAATCTCAAGATCAAAGTGCAAGTCAAGGTGCTAGTCGAGAACAAGGTACTGATTTTATATCAAACACATCATGTGTTTCTGTGTTAGATTTTGACCTGAGAAACATAAGTTTACTCACTGTGTTAGATTTGGAAAGTTTCTCAGGGCCTTTAATGTCCATTCCATGGCTTCCAGCGTAATATAGCTCAGCAAACTTGACAAAGTTATATACCTTGCAGTTTTCAAAACAACAAAAGATTTACCAATTGTGTGAACATTAAATAAAGGATCAAATTTTAATGCCTGAAAATGTACCTTGTCCCTGCATCTACGGATCTACCACTCACTATAGCTGTAGGGAAACATTTGGCTACCTTTCTCACAGTCTTTCTCATCTGGTGTACACAAAGCATGTGAAATTAATGTCAAATTTATAGATGAGATGTACCCAGAAATTTTATGCAAAGAATAGCCGTGGTGTCATGTGAACAAATAACTAACCTTCTTGGACATAAAAGCTCAATCTGGATCTGTAACAATCGGAGAAAGAGTGCCATCGTAATCTAAAAACATTACTATTTCTTTCCCTTTCGAAGCATCTATTATCTGCTCGAACATATCCAGTGCCGATGGATGGTGCAACTAAACAATTTCATCAACCACAGAAAGTCAGAATCTTTATTGCCTTTGAAAAAAATGAAAACCCATTTTGGTTCAAGGCTTGAAACAGGTAAGAACTCACATTCAAGGAACCTTCATCATCGGCAATGAAAGGTGTAGACTTAATATGAGTTGGGGAAGAAGCTCTCATGGAATCGACCCATGCGCTAACCCTTGCTCCTGCACTGATTTCAAGGTTCTGAAGCAATTTCTTGCGTGAAATGGAGAGAAAACCGGGTGGTGCAGGCGGTTTTTGTGCTGATTTTGCATCAGAGACCACATTTTGACAAGCGGCCATGTTCTTTGGTATTTCTTTAAGGAAATTCACTGCAACAGACAACGACAACCCATATTCAGGACCGTGTAACATAGAAATTAAGCCCTAGAAAACTCCCCCCAACATGCTACCCTGGGCCGTCGCCCATGTGTTGGGCCGGCCCTGTTAATTAGTACTTAATTTCTGCCAAAGATCCACCCGAGGTTGGTATCAGCCACATCTTCTGCCTTAATTTTACGCCTAAAGCATATGATCCATGCGTTAGGTGTAAAATATGGAAAATCATCATAAAGATCTAAAAAGATAAGTGGTATTTTATGTAAAGAAAAAATGGTCCCCAAAAAAAAAAGCTTGTGGTTCTTGCTTCTTGGTATCGAATGAATTATGATAGGTGTCGCAACCGTCTTTCGGTTGGACCCGGAATTGGGCTTCGACTTGGATTAAACGAATTGGAGTCGCCACCGACCATTTTAAAATGAATTTAGGTGGGTCGGACACCATCTTACCTTATCTGCGTTGTACCATAAACGTGTCGGGTTCGGGAGTCGATTACGGTCAAGGAAGGGTTAGCACCCTTGAACCGCCCTTTCGGTACCAATTAATTTGTCGATTGTCCTAGTTGCGAAAATTTAAAATTTAAATTTAAATTTAAAAACTCGATGCAAATCACTTACCTTTGATCAATTGGAACTTCTGAAAACAATGAGTCGAAGATGTTAGGAAAAAAAATAACAAATAAGTAATGAATTAGGAAGAATAAAATAATAAATAAATAAATGAATATAAATCAAATGGCAAGAATTTTTTAAAAAATACTAAAGTCAAAATAAATAAAAGAATAAAAAAGATAAAAGGTGAAGAAAACGAGATAGGGAAAATAAAAATAATATTAAAATAATAATTAGAACGAATATTAAAAACGTTAACGTTTAAAAGTAAATAAAATAAGAGGAAAAAGTGAAAAGTGTAATATGGGAAAGAAATAACAATAATAAAATAAAATAATAAAAATAGATAAAAAAGGTTAAAGTTTGGAATTAGAAAATGTTAGAAAAACAAAATAAGGTAAATAAATAAAAGGATCAGAATGAATTAAATTGGACCTTGTGCACTGTAAGTGATACTAAAACCAAACTGTAAAAAAAACAAAATTAGAGGGTTAATTCACAAAATATAAAAAAGTGTAAAAGGTGACCAATTTGAATGAATTGAGAATCCAGAGACGAAATTACAAGTGATGGCCAGATTGAAATGCGATTTAAACTACCAGGGACTGCGGAGAGAATTAAAGAACCTTCTATTTGCATAATGGTCCATGATATATATATATACAAACCAGCTTAATTTCGTTTCATATTCTTCATTTACTCTCAAATTCTTTCTCCCTCAGCCGAGAGAAAGCTCTCAACTCTCCCAGAACTCTCCCTAGGCGATTTCCGGTCGCCGCCTTGTGTCTCCTCCGCCACTCAGGCCACCGCGCCGGCCGCCACTGCCGGCGGCCTATGAAAACCCGAACCCCACCAAAATAAACCTCACGTCCCCGTGAACCCAAAATCAACACTCAAATACCCAAACAACCCCCTTGTCGGAGTAAATCTAAAGAAAAACCCTTCGGTTTTTTACCTTTTCCGGAGACCGTTCGCTTTTCCGATGGTTTCTTCGGTTGATGCTTCAGTTTTTATGCTTCTTGTGTGTGTGGCTTTTGTTTTGGTACTGTTGATAGCTGTTGTGGCTCTAGATGATGTGTATTGTGGTGTGGGTATTTTTTTGCTGTTGTCTCTGTCGATTTTGGGTACCGTTGTGTAGTGTGATGGTTGTAGTTCTTCGTGTACTCGGTTGTGGTCTGTTGTTTCTCGATGTACTCTCTGTGGGTTCTGTTTGGTTCCCGATAACCCTCCCTGACGATGGTGTTCTGGTTGGTATTTATAGGCCTCCACCGGCCGTTGTGGTCCCGAAATAGGGGCGCTCGTGACCGGTCACCTCGGGATGGGTCAGTCCCGGGGATCTCGGCCGTCGTTGGCACTGTTGCCCGTCTGTTTCGCGTGGCCTTTGGTTGCCCGGGTCGTGCGGCGCCTTGGTTGAAACTGGATATGAAACCTAACATGCTGCTGGGCTGGTTCAGGCCCAGTCTTTGTTTTTGGACCCCGTTTGGACCCTGACAAAAAAATAAATAATAATAATAATAAATTAAATTAAATTAAGTTAATAAATGAAATGAAACGAAATAAAATGAAATAAAATAAATATTAATAATAATATAGGTTATATAATATATATGTTTCAAAAAAATATTTTTTTAAATTATATATTATATATAAAAACATTTTCAAAACTATATATTATATAGTTTTCAAAAATGATTTTAAAAATATTATATAAGTTTTCCAAAATGTTTTGTTAAAACAATATATTATATAAATTTTCCCAAAATGTTTTTTTTAAAAAAAAAATATATATTATATTTTCAAAATGATTTCAAAGCTATATATTACATAATTTCCAAAATGTTTTAAAACTTATATATTGTATATAAGTTTTCAAAAACGTTTTAAAAAAAAACTATATAATACATATTTCAAAAATATTTTTCAAAACATTTTCAAAAATTATACTATATTACTATAACAAAAATAAATAAATAAAACGCCCAAATTCAGACGAAAATAAGTGTCTACAGCTGCCCCTCTTTGTCCTTTTTCGTGGAACGAAAAATAGGACAAAGACAAAAAGACACAAATTTTCGTCTGGTGGAGTTGAAGATTGAATAGAATAACTCCCTGTCGAGTGGGGTTGCGGATGGCTCATTCGTCGCGAAGTCGAGTCCATCCTAAAGTGATATAAGATTAAAGTCGTAGTATGAACTTTGAATCAGAATGCGGCTTTTTATTGTCCAATTGTAGTCAACTTCGGTCTTCTTAAAGACCTTGGTTAAAAAAAAATTTGGCTGTAAAGTAGTTCTCTGACTCCACCATGTGTTTGATAGGCCTTCGAGCTGAATGAAACCAAACTCGAAAGGTCTTCGTTGACATATAGCTTTTCTCGACTTAAGCTATAGTGCCGGAAAACAGTTTCTTGTCACTGAGGCACGGTTAACCCAGGTCTTCTTCTCGACTTGAAAACCTCGATTGCAGCCGAACAGTAGTGTGATTGAGGTGTTATCGAGCTGGTTAGAATCGAACTCGACAGTTTTATTGACAGATAGCCCTTCTTGCCTTGAGCTATTCTGTAAGCTTGATTTGCCTCTAAGTTGAATATAATCGAACTCGAAGGTCTTTAGCAGATAGCCCTTCTCGACTTAAACTATGCTGCAAATGATGTGCCTTGGAGCTGAGCGGAGTCGAACTCGAAGGTCTTTTGGTGGCAGATAGCCCTTCTCGACTTAAGCTATGCTGCAAATGATGTGCCTTGGAGCTGAGCGGAGTCGAACTCGATGGTCTTTTGTTGGCAGATAACCCTTCTCGACTTAAGTTATGCTGCAAATGATGTGCCTTGGAGCTGAGCGTAGTCGAACTCGAAGGTCTTTGGTGACAGATAACCCTTCTAGCCTTGAGTTATGTTGTAAATGTTATGCCCTTGAAGCTGAGTGTAATCGAACTCGAAGGTCTTTAGCAGATAGCCCTTCTCGACTTAAACTATGCTGCAAATGATGTGCCTAGGAGCTGAGCGTAGTCGAACTCAAAGGTCTTGGTGGCAGGTAGCCCTTCTGGCCTTGAGCTAAGCTGCAAATAGTTTGTTTAAAAATGGCTTCCCTTTACAGGTCGAAAACGGTCATGATTCTTCCGGTGGTTCCCCTAAGCTGGTCTGGGAAAACCTACTGATAAATTCTGACAGCCGGATATCTTCCGTCGTGGAATTGAAATCTGGCTTGAAAGTGTTAACTGAAAACATGTTGCTCCTGGTGGGTTTGAACCGAACTAGATTTGGTCTGAACTGGTTCTCGAACCCATCTGAAATTGGTTCTGAGATCTGTAGTTATGTAAAGTCGGTTGAGGTGTAGCTTCTTGCTGCTGAGTTACACCATCATTCTTTAAAGGTGCTTGCAAGTCGAGTAACCTTCATCCTGAAGTCGAAGCTTGCCTCTGAAAGCTGCAAAATTATGTATGCTAAAATGATGAATGTGATGCACCTAAGTATGTCTAAGATGCATGCAACATGAATAAATTATGTGTTATTTCTTGGACTGAGTCTCGTGCTTTGCCTGCCAATCTGGTCCATGGAATCGATCGTGCCCCATTTGCTTCTCGAGCTTGGGCTTTACAGACATTTCATATCTGAGATTGTTCTGTTTGAAAACGTTTTTTTTCTTGTTTCAGGAGAGAGAAATGATAAAAATGTTGTAAAGTATTGTTCGCAATTGAATCAAATTGTAAATGTGATTTCAAAAAATATCAAAGGAATCAAGAGCTCTTTTAATGCTTTCAGAGTTACAAATTTTTGACAAATGTTCAAAGGGACGAGTCGGCTTTAGGTTGGCCTCCTTTCTAAGGTTTTTTGGTAAAAATGTCATTTTTTAAATATCGCAACATGCTTTGGCACTTTAATTGGGTGCGGACAAAATGACGCAACTAGCATGATCAATTACTAGACCTTTTATCTCAGTCCTCTGAAATCTTTCATTTGTTCAAGCTTTGTAGGCTCTTCCAACAAAGGCAGTGCAAAAAATGAAATTCTTGAGTGCTCGTGTGTAGTTGACTATAACAGGTGTTCCTTAACTCCCTTAGTCCATTTTACCGAAAATTTCTTAGATAAATTTGATTTAATTTGTTATTATCTGGCTAGCTGAATCCATAAAGCCGGGGTATTTAACCAATTGCCTTAGAGGGACAACTTAACATTATAATCACTCTTATCAAGTCAACTGAAGGGTTCATCTCACCACATAGTCTTCAACCTGACAAGAGCAGTGGAGCAAACACCGAATTGCCAAGTGTCCGAGCAATGTCATGGTTTGAACGTAATCTACTCATAAGGCCAGGGCTTTCAAGTTTCCTCTATAACCAATTGCCTTAGCGGAATAGCTCAGTTTTTACGGATTTAATTTCCTAA